GCTGCCAATTCCGCTGTCGACTGGGGTCACAGGAATGCCTCCGCCAAATGCAGCGGTTTCGTACTCAGCGGTCGCACTGCGGAGAAAATCAACGGAGAAATTTGCGGACACTTGATTTCCGGCACGCTTCCTAGAGGATGACGACTTTGTCACATTCAGAGGGGGATACGTCGCCCTGGCAGCCAGAGGGTACGAAGAAAACTGTTGTTGAGCATGGGAACTATTTGCGTAAGATTCGTTGCCGCCGCCAGTCCATTCGAACCGCGAATCCTGACGTGGCGTCTCCAAAAGAGCTGCTCCAAACGCCGGTAAAGACATATCCACAGTTTCCGTTGCATTCGATCTCATCTGCAGTGTGTGACATGAATATTTATCTAAATAAGTGGACACCTGTAATACACATTTACTTTATTGTCAAAGAAATTCTCCTTAGACATTTTCTAAGAATGCGACCACAAAGTTTTGGTCAGCAGCTAAATTAAGAACTCTGACCAGGAATTTGACTGCACTAAACCAAATACAGACTTTAGAAGTTTAACTATTTTGTCACTGAATATAACTTTATAGATATCAACGACGAAAAGAATGCTTTGAGTAAGTTCTTAACACTGAGCAACCGCAGAAGACTTGCCTGAACGGCAGCAGGCAACGGATATTAACCTTTCAACAGAGATCACAAAACCTGTAATAAGCTCAGAAATTGGCAAGGCCACAAAAATCGATTAAATTCTTCTTGAGATGCTTAAAGCTTTAGGCGAACAAGGTACGTTGTGATCAACATTCGTCTGTGAAACTGCAGTGATTGCGGGGATTTGACAGCTGTGGTAATAGTACCCTGTTCAAAAAGGGAGACCATAGGGACTGCTTTAATCACTGAGGCAGTACGCTACTGAGCATCCCGGGAAAAATCTTTCCAAAGGGGTGTTGGAAAGAAAGTGCCGCGCAATAGTTGGCTCTAAGATCCAAGAGATGCAGTGTTGCTTCCGGTCAAGCACAAATACCTCTGACCAGATCTTTACCCTATGCCAGATGGTGGAAAAACCATGGGAGTTCACTCACTGGGCTAACATATCCTTTGTGGACCTGAAAAACCTATGACCAGATTAATGTGTAGCACGCTATCAGCGTGCCTGCAGATATATGGGATCGATGGTCAATTGTCCAGTCACCATATGGTGATAACTTTGGCTGTTTCAGAGAAAGTGGCGTGTCGAAACCTACCAGCGTTACCAATGGTCTCCGCCAAGACTGCGTTCTGTCCCCTCTACTACTGGTGTTGTACATGGATGGAATAGTCAGGCACAGTCAGAGCGACGAGTGTATTGGCGTACGACGTGTGGAGACGAAGAGGTTGCTGTTTGCAGACGATCTCATTTTGTTTATCTTCTTCTGAAACTAATCTCCAGTGCTCTCTAGAAAAGTTCGTAACATCGGATGTGACGTGGTCGGCATCTGTGAATGCCTAATGCTTTCTCGGTCGCTCTCCGCTGCTCTATTTATATAAACCGAAAATCAGTGGAACAGATGGAATAGTTAAAGTACCTCGGGGTCGTGTTTGGTGATGATGGAAAATGGGACAAAGCGATCGGCCGGCGGACTGGAGTAGCCAGTGGCGTGAACTAGCCCGAACCATGGTGACTAAAGCAGAGCCGAGATCAAAGACTAAGCTCTCGGTGTTCAATTCGATCTTCATCCAATGCTCTGCTATGTACATGAGTCGTGGGTTACGACTGAGAAACTTCAGCCACTGAAAGTGACTACTGGCCAACTGCATGCGACACAAAAGTACGGTTCGAAATACGTTAGGAAAATTTAATTCCATTAACGTCATAAGAAGTTTTCTTCAACCGATATGACGTTGTTTCAAGTACACTTAGTACCCCAGTAGAATAGCAACTACATTCCTTTCTTTTCAAATAAAAGCTCATAACCTAATTTGGCTTTGTTTTCTTATTTGTTGCTTGCTGTCAGCTTTCCCTGAAATGACCTTGTGAAAAGAGTGGTGGATTAACAATATTCCCACCTATCCTCATCATCACTATCATTATCAACAGTATCATGTAATCACATTCGCCATCATCACCATATCAGCAAACATCACTGATAATGTAGCTTAAACGCCGGAGGCTGACAGCATAACGTTCCTCCTATGGTTAGAGCTGACCATGAGACACAGAAGGAAAGGCGACTAAGCTTGAAACACCTATTTGAAGATGACCTACTGTTGAAAAGTAGATCGTTTTCGAAGCGGTAAAAGCTTAAAGTAATACTATGACTCCAGTGACATCTAAAAAAAGGTAAACATGAAACTGATTACAGCAGAGGAACAATCAAGCAATTTCGAAGGAAGGCGTGAAACTGGTGAGGATGAGGCTCACGTGACTGTTGTGTAGAGACATCGCTTTTTTACCATAACAGTATTTCAAACGTACCAAAAACATAGTTGAATCAATTTGTGAAACACGAGTGCAGATGCTGATGAGAGGAGCAATATGATGTTACGCAAGTACACTGGTTCATTCATTTTTGCTTACCGGTCAGGATGTTCTGCTGCGGAGGTGTGTTGTCGACGGCTGAACGTGGAAGTTGACGGATTCTAACGGGTGTCTCAGCGACCGATGACCCGATTTCCAGTGGGTCGAACGATGAACCGAATTGTGCCATCGCACTGGAAACGCCGGAATCGCCGACACTGCCACAGTCACTGCCACCCGTGTGCTCGTCGATCAGGTCGGACACACTAAGCAGCGAAAATGTGGCCTTGCGAATAAGTTTTTCGGGTGTGACCCTTTTGAGGTAATGCTGAGCATCGTTTTGCACCGAATTTAGCTGGGAGCCGCGTCGCTTCCTGACCGTTACTGGCACTCGATCGGTTTGAATGCTGGTCGTGGTAGTCGGTACTTGAAACAGTGGCTGAAACGGACTCGTTGAATGGTCAATGAACGCTGCTGGACAGGATGCCGGCAGTGGCTCCGTCTGCACCGCTGAATCCTCCATCACGACCGGACCCTCGGTCATTACTGAAGCATCGCACACCGACGCCGTCCTGATTTCCGGGGACTTGGCTGACGTCTTTGGTGTTCTCTGAGCAATGTCTGAGGTATGCTGTGGACTAAAAGACGCCACTGCCACTTCCGTGGCCACGTGATTATCCACAACCGCCGGCCTGGAAGCGGCGGCTGCTGTCACGCAGCTCAGCAAGCCATCATCCACTGCAGTCCATCCA